CCTCAACATGTCTAACCCACCTGCCTCTCGCCGCCCAGACAAGGTGGACCAGTGAGCCCCGCTTCACAGACCTCATTCTCCTGACAAGCCCCGCCCCCTCCCCAGAACACCTTGAGCACCTCAACACTGATGCAAGATGGCCGCCGGCGTGGCCACGTGGCTGCCGTTCGCGCGGGCGGCGGCAGTAGGCTGGCTGCCACTGGCAAAGAAGACGATGCCCAAGCCGCCGGTGGACAACACGTCCAGATCCGATGAGATCCTGTACGTCAACGTCAGCGGCGTCCGCTTCCAGGTGGGTGCTGCCGTGACTAAAACGGGCTCTGTGAGCAGGTGATGGCTGGAGGGAAGGAAAATGTTCAATCTGATGCTTTATTTCCATCAAGCAAGAAAAAAAACAGACTCCAACAGACAGACGGTCGGACCTAGATGGACGCTCGTTAAGCTCGTTAGGCTCGTTAGGCTCGTTAGGCTCGTTAGGCTCTGACCTCTGGGGTCAAACCAGAGAAGGCGCTCCTCCAGCTGCAGGACTAGTCTGGTGGGCCTGATGGTTTAGAAAAGCTTGATTTGTTTATGTAGAATCTGTTACTGCTGCAGGTCCCTCCCTTCGTTTTATTTTTGGGTATTTTAGGAAACAGTATTCTTCTTATTTGTCTTCCTCTTCTTCATCGTCTTCTTGTTCTTCCTCTTGGTTCCGCTGACACTCATCAGGAAGCTTCTGTCGGGTTCCTGCTGTATCTAAACTAAAATGAGCCCAAATTGAAGGAGGAGCCAAAGTCGTCTTCGTTCTGGAACATGAATTGTAGATCTTTAAAACCAGAGCAGAGGTCACCTCTGCAGACCAGGTGTAGAGGTCGAGCAGTGAGAGTAAGCTCGGCTGCTGATTGGTGGGTAGCTACAGGTGGTTCCGCTTGCTCTAGATAAGGTCCTGGTCTTGGCTTAAAAAATATACCTTCTAACAGTTTTAAACCATGGGAGCAGGGGCGGAGCTAGTGAGGGGGCCAGGGGTGGCCACCCTTAGCCAATTATTGGCCACCCCGGTGGCAACGCGGGGGCGGGACTAGATGGAAACATCCAGGGCTGTAGCCCAAGCAGCATTGGATTCAAAGGTTCTCCAAAATCATCATGAGAACATTTAGTTAGAAGATTAACTAAAAAAAAAGCTGCAATATTAGAATTAAGCAGAGAAAGGAAAGCTGGTTCCTATGTCCTCCAGCAGTCTAAGCCTATAGCAGCACTAGTATACTATCTATAGTAGTTAGTGCTATCTATAGCACTATCTACTATAGATGGCTCAGGATTATCACCTCTGACTGTTGCTGCTCTGTTCAGCAGCACTGAGATGTTTGCTGGTATCTGTTCTGATCCAAGGTGGATAAGGCATGCGGGACAAAGTTCTGTCCGGTTCTGCTGAGGTTCTGTATGACTGGTTTCTTCCTGAAGGATGAATCTGTCATAAACGCTGCCTGTTTGTAGAGAAGGTTGAACTTTTCCTCAGGAAGGCTAAACAAGTTCATCAGAACCAGAACCGATGCATAGCTGCTCCAGTAGGTCTGACCTCTAGTCTACTTCCTGTTGGATGGGAGCTATCGGACCAGAAGCTCAGTTCAGCTGATTGGATCTGGGAACCGGTCCCAGCCCTCATGCCATCAGAACTCCAGCAGAACCAGATCCTCTGCGAAAAGAACGCCCAGTGAGGCTCTAAAACCAGATATGCTCCCCTCCATGTCTGCTGCTTCAGATCTTCTCCATGAGGAACAGGACTGGGGATCAGGAGGCAGACCTGAAGGGATCCAACAGAACCTTCACTTAAGCTAGGTTCTGTTTGACTGGATCCGGTCTGGGCCGACTCCATTTAGCAATGAGGAAGATGAGCTTCTGAAGGGGAGAGGAAGAGAGTCACCTTCTGCCTCTCAGCGAGGTTCTGTTTCAGTCCTAAAAGCTTTCAGGATTCTGGACATTTGGTTTAGATTCTGGTCCCATTTCTGACCCGCCTCATGCAGCAGGTTTCTATGGTTAAACCTTAATGGAAAAGTGGGAGGTTTTCCACTTGCAGGTTCTTCCGTTGCTCCGATTGGACCAGTTCAGTGGTTGTCCATGAATCTTTCTAAATGAGGCAGAACTCATGTGGTGTTATCATAAACCCTCTCCTCCTCCAAGTGTTCCCATCGCTGGACTTTGTCAACAGCACCAGGCTGGTTGCCAGCTCCAGTACCGCTGCCAGAGAGTCGTCCTGCCACGGCCTGCTGCAGCTCTGCTCCTGATTCTGCATGTGGAATCAGAACGTCCATTTGGAAAGAAATGGTTCCATAACAAAACTCTGTTTTTAGCAGCTCTAGAAACACACGGTTGCTACTTCTGCATCTCAGTGAGTTCACTGCCCCATTCTAACATGAGTCCATGTTCCTGGCAGGTCAGTTGGGGTGTCTTCCAGCTTGTTATTAGTGTTTCTGCAACCAAACAGCTGAGAAAGATTTATCTCAGGTTGTTTCCTTTCTAATAATTATCTATTATATGACAAAAAAGCAGAGATAACATTTAGTTAGAAGATTAACAAACAAAAGCTAGAGAATTGGAGAATATTAGAATGAAGCAGAGAAAAGAAAGCTGGTTCCTTTGTCCTCCGGCAGTCTAAGCCTATAGCAGCACTACTATACTATATAGTATAGGATAGTAGTTAGTAGTTAGTGCTATCTATAGCACTAACTCATATAGATAGCTCAGGATCATCACCTCTGCCTGTTATAACGATCCATGTTGATTTTTGCATCTCTGCAGACATGGAAGAACACTCTGGACCGTTACCCGGACACTCTCCTGGGCTCCTCTGAGAAGGAGTTTTTCTTCAATGAAGACACTCAGGAGTATTTCTTTGACAGAGACCCTGAGATGTTCCGACACATCTTGAACTTTTATCGCACAGGGAAGCTCCACTATCCCCGACACGAATGCATCCAGGCGTTTGACGAGGAGCTGGCCTTCTACGGCATTGTACCGGAGATCATTGGAGACTGCTGCATGGAGGTACATCTGGACCTGGTTTCACTCTTTTCTCTGCTGGACCATTAGAACCTGTTTCATGCATGTCTGTAAAGCTGGATGCCAAGCTATTAAAAGCTAAGAAAGGGTCTTACTAAGATCAAAGCATCGATAGCAGCTCTGTTTCCATGGTATCAGAATCAGAACAAAGCAAATTATCAGCCTAAGTGGATCATTTACAGTTCTGTTCAATAATAAAATAAGTGAGTCCTTTCCTACAAGCTAAGCTAACTGTTCTGGTGTTGAAACAATCCTCCATCCCACCCCTGAGCCAAGGAATGCTGCAGCTTTCAGCTTTATGTCCCTCTCAGGCTGCAGTCCCCTCTGATTGCTTTATAATGCCTGCATCATTTGTAGTGTGCTTACTTTAAATTTTTACTTCCTGCTAATGCTTTGCTTTAATGTTGGACATTTTGCAGCTAAACTCATTAAGTATCTCGGGAGACGAGCTTCATCAGCCCAACGACTAAAGAGTAAAGAACCCAGATGGATCCGGAGAGATTACTAACCGGCGCTGCTCTCCCACCCCATCATCCAATCCAAACTCATTAACAGTGATGAACCCTCCATAACCCTCTTGGTTCGTCCCGATCATGGAGAGCTGTCCAAAACACCTTTGTAATTTCTGTTAATGAGATATAAACAAGCCTTTTGGCTCCTACAGGAAGCAACCCCCCGCTGGCTTATTATAGCAGCCATTTTATATTCAGCTCATTAACTGAGGCGTTCATGTTTTCGTGGTTTAATAAATCACGCATCCTGTGAGGCGCTATTGAAAGATGAACCTTCATCTTCTCAGCTTCATCAACCTGATCATCCTTGAAGTGTTTCTGCAGCTACGCCACATGGAGCCGATGACGGTGTAGGTACCCGATCTGCTCGGGGCCCTCTTACGACGTCATTATATGGCAACTCCACTCTGACAAACTATATAGGACCCGTTTCTTAAGGATCAAATCTCATTTGGAGTCTCAACATATTATTACCTATATTTGCTATTATTTTACATTTAATTGGCGATCTAAAGTAGCTGAAAGTAGAAAACAATCATTGTCAGTCTTGATGGAAAACACTAACCTGACTCCGCCAGATGGATTTGCTCTGCATATCCATCTGGAAACCTTCCGTTGAAGTAATTTTGGGAATTTTGCGAAAATACTGGTTAGCTGATTGGCCTATGTTGGTGATAGACGGGCCAAATAAACCAATCAGATCAACGAAGCATATGACGTACTAACAGAGCGACGACGAAGAGGAGCCAATTGATAGATCAAACTCTTGCCGAAACCAGTCGGGAGAAGAGCAAAAACATCTTTTCCTCTGAGAAAAGCCTCCAGAGCAGTGTTTTGCTCTTCTTTCAGTGAAGAAATACTCTGTAATTCCGATAAAACTTCCTCGATAGCCACGCTAACGCTAGTTTCATCGGCTGAAGCCGCCATGTTCTTTAGACCGAACTGTCGCGCTTCTCGTTGCGTCACACCTCAACCCGCCTCAAAGCCAACGCTGATTGGACGTTCGTTTGGTGAACGGCTACAAATTTTCTTTAACGGAGAGTCTCCAGACTGATCTGCGAGTGAAACCTTGAAAGCTCGCGAGATCAGGATGGTCTCACGAGGCTAGAAAAACACTGCCATCTCTGACATTTACCAAGGTAACAAAAAAAGTCTCAGCGGCAGAGGAGGACAAATGGAGAATCTTAAAAATGACTTTCATAGAGATTTTAGTCAAAAAAAAGATTGTAGAAAGCGAACGGTTGTTGTTGACACAAAGTTAAAAGTAGTGTAGCTTAATATGGCTAACTGAGCGAGCTTAAAGAGGCAAACCTGTTAGCTACTGAGCACAGCTAGCCACAGCGCTACCCAGTAGAGACTGACACAGGAGTGGATTTTCACTCCTGTCCCGTCCCGATCTCGGGCCAGAGTAGAAATCTAAATCCTGTCCCGTCCCACTCCTGGTGAAATTACTCCCACTCCCATCCCGCCCCCATTCAGAATGACTCCAGCTCCTGCACCACTCCCATTCTTGTTGTCTTCAATAAGATTTCTGCCAATACATTGAATCTTAATTTCTTTTGAGCGCGGGTGAAAAACTCAGAGTGGAAGCACTGTTGGTTTTTGGGTCGTGTAGTTTTTTTGATTCGCATTATAGTGTAGACTTCAAGGAAAAAAAACTACAAAATGGCGGCGCCAGTACTGGATTCTTTTTTCTTTCTATTTTATTTTATTTTTTGGCATGGATCCTAGTTTTTTTTAGTTACTATTGGTTTGCTCCCGCTCCCGTCTGCTCCCGTTAATGTTTAATCCTGTACCGTCCCAATCACGTGATCGCTACTAATACTGACTCCCATCCCACGGGAATCCCGTGACCCGTGGGATTCCCGAAAAAATCTCAGTCCCTACTGCACAGCTCGTTATATCATGGTCTAACAGTTACTTTGTTCACCACAAACAAATTTTTTCAGTTTTGTAATCGATCAGGTAAAGGCTCCCGACTTGACACAATGACGCTGGGTGATGTCATTATCCTTGTCAGAGCAACCACAATGTTTTAGGACATGTGGCAACGTTCAGCGAATCATGTAGCGTGATGTCACTGGGATGAAGCAGAACCCGAGCAGATCTGGTAGCTACAGCGGTACTAGCGAAGAAAAGCATTATTAGTAAGAGAACGGTGTAGGTACTAGATCTGCTCGGGCCCTAAACATGCCAGTGATGTTATAATATATGATTGGCTGAACGTTGCCACATCACATAAAACATTGTGGTTGCCCAGACAACGATGATTTCAGTGTGCTGAGTCGGGATAATTTGTAATGTTAGCGTGTTTAATGACCGATGACAATATATATATTTTTTTCTTTTGGGTTGGTATCCCAGCTGCCAGTGTGGATCCTTAGGCAGGACCCTTCACGCTAATTCTTGCTCTAGGGAGGGGTGGCATTGCGCCATGAGTTCAAGCCCCACTGCCACGGACGGCCACTCTGAACTCTAGCCAGAGCAATCTACACTCGATGCAGTCGAGCAGCTTCTAGCCAATGAAATTATCTCATTTGGTCAGAAAAAAAAAAAATTTTCCGCCGGTCGCTTCTTCCGGATCAAACCAAGAGCCTTGGCAGACGGGGGTGCTGCACTAGCTGCGATCGGCTCAGTTATTTCACCCGGTCTGATCAGATGAACAACTCTGATGGCCGTCTGTTAGTAGCTACCTGACGTTTCGTAATCATATCATTCAGTCAGGAACAAAGCTATGCCCAACTGTTGTGTCACGTGACCAAATGAGCTAATTTCATTGGCTTGAAGCTGCTCGACTGCATCAAGTGTAGATTGCTTTGGCTTTAGTTCGCAAAAAAGTCAACACATTTGCAGTTGAATTTTTTTGTAGGCAAATGTATACCAGAGAAAAATTCAGTCTAAAGAATTCAATGTGTAAAAATTTTTCAAATGTTCAAAATTCGGTGCTAAAAAAATTCATTGTTTATAATTCGGTGTTCAAAAAAAGGCAGATTCCAATGAGACTGCTGTTCTTCCATAACCCCCGGACCCCCCTACAACCCCAAAGCCCAAAGATGTGATACACCAAGCTGTACACCCTATGAAATATTTGTGTTGCGACACCAGAGCACCTCCGCATTAAGTGTTGCATTGAATCCAAATGTTGTTCAAAGACAGTCTAGCCGCTTTCAAACTGAAATCCTTGGTTTTTCAAAAACGGGTTCAACCCGCTGACAATCGCCATTTTGCTGTTTTCCCATTTGACTGAAAACTGGTCTAAACCCTCGCTGGCAGCTGCGTGGCCTCTGTCCACCAACACTGCATGTCTCATGACAGCATCACGCTGGGTTAGAGTTGATGATGTCATCAGTGTGACATAAATCAGGGAAGTAAACAATGGAGAGCAACATGTAAGGAAGCCAGGGCGTAGTCAGTGTGCTTTATTGTTTCTCTCTATTATCTGTCTGAATCCGTCTCACCAGAGCTGCTCCATGTTTATCGTGTTTCTGCCTGTTAGATCAGAAGCAACCGGTGGTGTGTTGACGTCCGTACGTTGCTTTCAATCGTATCGCGTAATTTAGTGCGTCAACCCGGCTCTGGTGTTCTCACAGCATGCCGATCAGAGCCGAGGAGATTTTAATGCGTGTCGCCCATTGTTGCCGGGTTTAAACAGGCTTTTTGAGAGAAAGGGTTGCCTGATGGACTGTCGAACCTGGTGGTTCCAAACTGTGAGGAGCTACACCATGTTTTCCTTCCACCTTCTTTTCTGGGTAATGTTCTTCTTCTCCTCCCCTAAAGGAATACCGAGACAGGAAGAAAGAGAACCAGGAGCGCCTTGCAGAAGACACTGAGGCCAATGAGTCGACGGATGCCCCCCTCCCCCCACACAGCACCCCCAGGGAGCGTCTGTGGAGAGCCTTCGAGAACCCCCACACCTCAACCATGGCGCTGGTCTTCTACTATGTCACAGGTTTCTTCATAGCTGTGTCCGTCATCGCCAACGTGGTGGAGACGGTGCCCTGCCGGCCTCCGAAGGGCAAAGTCAAAGACCTCCCTTGCGGAGAGAAGTACGATCTGGCCTTCTTCTGCATGGACACAGCCTGCGTGCTCATCTTCACCTTCGAGTACCTAATGCGCCTGTTCGCCGCGCCCAGTCGCTGTAAGTTCATGCGCTCTGTGATGTCGGTGATCGACGTGGTGGCCATCATGCCCTACTACATTGGCCTGGTGATGCCTGAGAACGAGGACGTGAGCGGCGCCTTCGTCACCCTGCGGGTGTTCCGCGTCTTCCGGATCTTCAAGTTCTCGCGTCATTCTCAGGGTTTGAGGATTCTGGGCTACACGCTGAAGAGCTGCGCCTCCGAGCTGGGCTTCTTGCTCTTCTCCCTAACCATGGCCATCATCATCTTCGCCACCGTCATGTTCTACGCCGAGAAGGGCACCGCAAGCTCCACCTTCACCTCCATCCCGGCCTCCTTCTGGTACACCATCGTCACCATGACGACGCTGGGGTGAGTGGGCCTCGGTTTGCTTCTAGGGGCGGATGTCTGACATCAAGCGGGTTTTATTCTGCTGCTGTTAGGGCTGTTAGGGTTGTCATGGCGACGCTGGTGCATGCTCTTTGGTGTAAACGGTGGGTTTAGTGTCAGGACGCGGATTCCTCTCAGTTATTGGTCCTGGTTTCCACCATGAAAAGGGCTGAAGTGTGTGTTTGCCTCCCACTCGCTGCTGCTTGAGTACGGCGGTGTGTGTTGGCCGCCCACGCTCCAAACCGCAGCCAGTGGATCAGTGTGTGTGTGTGTGTGCGTCGCCTTCAGCTCGGATCTATTATCTGCTGTGTGGAAACATCACAAGCAGAGTGGGAGTCAGAGAGCGGCCATCAGCTCTGACCGTCCTGCTGCTACATGCATCCACGTCTCCTCTCGGTGCGGGCCTACCTGTCTGCCAGCAGAGGTCAGGAGGTGTGAATGGGAGGGGAGGAGCGATCTGCTCTGAATGACTCAAACGGTTCAGTGTGTGCTGAAGCAGCAGCGGCGTTAAAACGCTCAGAGCTGCGAAATGCTGATGCATCAGGAGCAACAACAGGCTTTTAGTCTCTGTGTTGGTGGATTTTTACACATTAAGGTCCTTTTTACGCCTTAATGCTTCATGTCTACAACAGCAGGAGAGTCGCAGGTTGGGAAGTTCTCACGATGCAAACCTGTCTCAGGAACTAAACGGTTCCCTCAGATTTTCTCCAAGCTTCTTTAGTTGCAGAAGTTAGTGGAAAATTGTGTTTCTGGCAGTAAATTATCTTTAATTCCCTTTAATCTATTTTTTATTACACAGTTTGTTCTCAGAGTCTCCCTGAGAGTTTTTTTTTTTTGTCTGTTATAGATCTGTTTGAAAACTCTGTTTTTCGTTCTGTAGGATTTGGTAAGAGATTGCACCAAATTGATGCTCTGAATGAAAAAAAATCAGTCTTCAGTTTCTCTGACTGGGTTCCCCTGCATTTAACTGATGCATCAGTCAGAACCTAAAGAAAGTTCCTCCACATTTATGTCAATTATAACCTGCAACAAAAATAGCTGCTGCAGGTTGTTTTACGCTGAAAATTAAAATCAAATCTATTAATCGATTTTCCAGTCTGGATGCAGGTTTTGCTGATTATTTCTCTAAGGAGGCAGGGAACCTGAGGCTATAAGATTAGAGAAACAACAACATTGATCCAGAAATATTGTTTATATGGGTAGAATTCCTCTGAAAGGCGAAGAGTCGTCAGGTGTGTTGGTTCTGAAAACCAGATTAGATCTAATCCAGGTTCTGAGAGACGTTCCCTCTAATCCGCAGGATGGATGGATGGATGGATGGATGGATGGATGGATGGATGGATGGATGGATGGATGGAAGGATGGATGATGGATGGATGGAGGATGGATGATGGATGGATGGATGATGGATGGATGGATGATGGATGGATGGATGGATGGCGTTTAGAACCTTTAGAACGGTGTTTTTCCTGCAGCTCCATCAGGGTGAAGCCTCCTTAAAGCTCTCAGCAGGTCCAGCGTTCAGCTCATCTCTGCTCTGCTGCAGATGGTTGCAGCAAAACATCCAACTTCCACCACACCTGAAGAGCAGCAGAGGTCCAAACGTAAAAAGTTCTGTTCGTTGCAGTTCTGTCTGCAGGTCTGAAACCTGCAGGAGCCTGAAGAAAGATCCAGACAAACCCAGCAGAGAAACAGGATCCACTGACGTGGGTTTTATTCTGTTATGTTCCACTTAAACAGAGAAACAGCTTCTCCTCTCCTGGTTTAATGGATCAGAACAAATTTCCCAATAGGACAAGTGTCAAAGCGTTTCATGTTTCAAGGCAGGAAGAAGACTGCCGAGCAGCTCTTAGACCAAAGTCGTCCTTTACAGTCTGAGTGTGTTTAGAAGCTGACGTATGTGTGGATGTATAGACACTGGTGTGTGGACCGTTAGATTAAAGCAGTGCACTGAAGACGTCAGTGGGAGGGGGATCCGTGGTCCATCCTTCAATTTGGACTTTAAGAATCCTGATTAAACACAGCTGGAATGATGGAAAGTCTTCCTACAGGAAGGAGTACGTAAAAAAAAAGATGATTGAAGTTTTGATCTCCTTTTAGGGGAAGGCAGCGCGCCTCCCACCTGACCCGATAGCGTCTCCTTGCTGTGGTGCGAACACCTGAGCGTGTTGGACTCTAGGCCTTTTTATGGCGACAAAGGGAAAAAACGGGATTTAAATATATTAATGCTCAGCAAATACAAAAAGCATGAAAAACACTGTAGTTATAGAAAATAGACAGCAGCAAAGTGTAAACATGCTGCAAACACATAAATGATGCTAACCATCAACAGAAACACGAACCACAGCAAAAATGCTGCGAGTAGCAGTTGTTCAGAAAATTTAGATTTCTCTTGTTTCATATATTTAGTTATGTTATTTATCCCGAGAAAAATGTTTTTACTCAGTTTGTTTCACCTGCAAGGCCACAAAATGTCTGAGTGAGAAGTGCTTTGCATACAAGGAATACTCAAGAATTTTTATTGCTTAACCAAAGTTTGGGTAATTTGCTTTTACTCAAAAACAACCTTCACAGCTTTTTCGTCATTATGAGTAAGGGAGAAAACCTGTCTAGATCAGAACAGGGCAGATTACTGTGCCATAAGGGCCGTATGATGCTGTTCTCTCTTTGCAAAGATATGAAAATAAAGTGCCGACTGAGTGAAATCCATCGATCTCCGTTCATTCAACTAGGCGGAATAGTTCAATACTTCTTTCCCACTGCATAGCACAAAACAAAAGTTATAAAAAAGTTGCAAACTAGGGCTGCATGACTGAAGAGCTCCGGACCAATAAGGGGAAACAAATAACAACACAATTGGGACCAACTGTAGACATTATTTACTAAAAAATATCTACAGACCAGATCAGTTTGGAGGACATCTTTTTTAAAGACCATTTCTCACTATGTGTATTTGTGCGTTCTCGTGTCCTCGTGAAACATCATCAGCTTCGGCCCTAGTACTGTTCCAATTCACAAGAACAACAAGACTGAGAACGGACAAAGTCCCCGGATGTTGTTCTCGCCCCTTGCTTCCACCCGATCCGTCCTGCGAATGCGCGAACAGAATAATAAGATCCAGGTCACCGAAAACTACGTAATAACGGTGCTGAAAATACTATATACTTCAAACATTAAGGAATGCTAAACTACATCGTATAGAAAATATTGAAGACTTTTGAGGAAGAAATGGATAATTTTGTTTTCTCTCCATTGTATTTTTTTACAGCTCAGAGCAGTCACATTAACGTTCAAAAGCATAAAAGCTCTCATTGAAAAAAAACAACAAACAAACGTTTGAAAGGCTTTTTAAGCCTGGCGTACACTGTGCGATTTTCAGGGCGATTTTCCAGTCGTGCGAGAATCTTTGATCGGGCCGACTTCGATCAGGCCGACACTGTACGACTAGTGTTTTTTTATGTTTTTTTTTTTTTTTTTTTCGTTTTTAGAATATGTAATATTTATGCAAATACCAAAATATTCAAAACAAAATCCCCGGCAGAAAAAAGAATAATGCCTACCAGTAAGTTATGCGCAGGACGGATGGCATAGTAATGCCCCTCCCTCTTTACCCAGCATGCATCAGAGCAGACTTGAATGTTCTCCAAACTGACAGCTGTCCCAGCATGCATTGCGGCAGCAGCAGCTTCCAGGTTAGCGCTCACAGAGCTCAGAGTATTAAAAGTTCTCTTTTCTGTTGCTGTTGTTGTATAAAAGTACGTTTTAAGATCATTTGAGGCGAGAATATTATATTTTAAGCTTCTCTTTATGGCCCATTTACGAATTTAGTGCTTAACTTAAAAAAATAGTTCAGATGTTGAGAGGATCGTGGCAACCAGCGCGGCTCTGAGGCTAAACGCAGCCCCAGCTAACGTTAGCCCATCCGCAGCAGCCAGGGCTAACGTTAGCCCGTCTGCAGCAGCCAGGGTTAACGTTAGCCTTTCTGCAGCAGCCAGGGCTAACGTTAGCCCGTCTGCAGCAGCCAGGGCTAACGTTAGCCCGTCCTCAGCAGCTAGAGCTAATGTTAGCCCGTCTGCAGCAGCCAGGGCTAATGTTAGCCTTTCTGCAGCAGCCAGGGCTAACGTTAGCCCGTCTGCAGCAGCCAGGGCTAACGTTAGCTCGTCTGCAGCAGCCAGGGCTAACGTTAGCCCGTCTGCAGCAGCCAGGGCTAACGTTAGCCTGTCTGCAGCGGCCCTCTCTCTGCATAGCCATGTGTGAGGGACCGCTGGCTCTGATGGCAAATTTTTTGTTTTCTTTGGAAAATGTTCATTAGATTTGTATTTATCTAACTGTATTCATTATTATTCCTCCACTAAATGAAAAAAAGATAGAATGTATAATTATTTAGAGACTATTAATAACAGGAGGTGAAATGCAGCTCCAGACGAACTGAGCGTGTGGTGATGTCATCACTAATTGCTCTCATTCTCCCCGTGTTCTTCTCAAGAACATACAGTACTTGGCGAGGACACCCGTCCGTACTCGCGTTCTTGTGAATTGAGAAACGACCTCAGTCCTTCTGTGTATCCTGTTTTTACCTTTTCTAAGGGTCTGATTCCATATGAGTTAATAATCGCCTCCCCCTGGTGGTCTGGAGGGATTTTGTTATCAGGTGCTAGATTCCATTTTTTTTTTGCTACTTGCAGCATTTTTTCCTTTGCAGGTGTATTTCTAGTTTTACCTTTATGTTTGCATTGCTTTTGTTTTTATTTGATTCATTTGGATATTTTGATCCCTTACCAATGTGCCTGGATGATCGGATCAAACTGACGATGAGCGTTGTGAATCGGTGCTCTAGAGATCAAATTAACTGAAATTAATTGAGATATAAAAGCTCTATAGAAAATGGAAACGCTATTTATGAAAAAATTTTTAAAACTCTTAAATAACAGAAAATAAATACTTGTAGAAGATGTTAAACATTATTAGATAAAAACAATGTT